GCAAAGTGTCTGCCAGATTAAAATTTTGAGAATAGATATAGGTCAGAAATATTTATTTTGTGGTGCTTTTCTTAAAAAATGATATACAACATCAGTTGACTGGTTGACTACTAAGTACAATAAACAAAATGAAGTGGTGGAGAGAAAAAATATGACAGTTATGAATATGGTAAGATATACATTGAAACTAAAAAAATATGCCAAAGCAGAGGTTGTGACTTATACTGTATATCTTTTTTTTGTAAAAAAAAAAAGTTTGGGTGGTTTCAACTCCTGTCATCACCATGGGTCAAGATATGTTTCCAGGACCATAGGATACTTACAAAGGTTCTTGCAGATTGTCTGCTAATACAGTTCTCACATCGGTAATGGGATTCAAATACACGACCTTTTGTGAGAAGGAGTCCTGTCTTTACTGACTAAGCCAACTTGTGTTGGCCTTGTATTGTATATCTGTTGAACAAATGTTCTACCAAAATGTTCTTGATAAAACCATTAAAGAGATTTAGAGTGGTAAAAGGCTATTTGTTGGCCATTTTAGAATATTTAGCCATATTGCCTACTCTTATATTCCTAATCAATTGAGGAAAAGGCTTGATGATAAGGGAGAGAAGTGTGTATTTATTGGACACAACGAGATTTTTTGGGCTTATAAACTATATAATCCTGTGATAGAAAAAGTGATATTGAGTAGAGATTGTATCTTTAACAAAAGAGTTGTTTGAGACTGGTCTACAGAAGATCTCAAGATAGTAGAAGTGGCTTTAAATTGTCAAGAAGAGGTGGCTAATCATAACTTTTAGCAACTACCAGTTGTTCAGGGTCCATAGGTTGAGTTAACAAGATGTCCATAGTGTCAATAACAAATACAAGCTCTTTTGTTAGGTTGAGTTAGCAAGATGTCCAGTGTCAATAACAGATACTAGCTCTTTTGTAAGATTATGTAAATATACCAGATGATGCTCTTTTTGAAGAAAATATTGTTAATTTTACTTTATTTATAGATAGATTATGACCCAATAGTGTTGTGTGAGAAGGTAGCTCATGATGATTGTTGGGTGAAAGCAACGAATGAAAAAAAAAATGCCAATGAAAAGAATGATACTTGGGAGCCTACTTCTCTTCTAAATGGTAAAAAAGCCATTAGAGTGAAGTGAATCTACAAGATAAAATTTAAATGCAATGGAGAAGTTGATAGATATAAGTTGAAACTATGGTGAAGGGGTACGAGGAGAAACTCAGAATTGACTACTTTGAAGTGTTTGCACTTGTTGCTAGGTTTGACACTTTTTGTCTAACAATTTCTCTTACTATTCAAAACAAGTAGAGAATTTATCAAATGAATGTTAAGTCAGTTTTTCTAGGAAGTGTACTTGGAGTAGCCTGCAGATTTTGTCATTAAAGGTTAGGAAAATACAGTGTACAAGTTGAAAAGAGTTTTATATGGATTGAAACAAGTTTCGAGGGCATGGAGTATGAGAATTGACTCTATTTTCCTGCTCATGATTCTCTAAGGTGTCCTATCAGCACACTTTAGATATTAAATCTACCACATATGATGATATATTTATTGTGTGCTTCTATGTAGGTGATTTGATTTTTACAAGAAATTATTAGGAGATGATTGTAGGGTTTAGGGAGGCCGTGATTAAACAATTTGAGATGACAAACATGAGGCTTATGTCATATTTCTTGGGAGCTGAAGTATTTTAGTCTGCCAGTGAGACTTTTATTTTTCAAAAGAAATATGTTGGTGATATTCTAAAGAAGTTCAAGACGGATGTAACTACATCAATTCTGAGGGTATGTTTGGTACCCCATAGAATTGGGGTTTAGAATTGGAATTGGAACCCCAATTCTAATTCTTGTGTTTGGATGCTGCCTTTTCCATAGAATTAGCATTGAATTCTAATTCCAAGAGGTTCCAATTCCATTAATTGAATTCTTTACCAGATCAAAAGAATTCTAATTCCAATTCCACAATTAAACGGGTCCAAACGCGGATCTAATATGGATCAAAAATTAAAATCGGGTCAAGGGTATCGGCACCCCTCTCTTTCTATCTAACTCACCATTTTTCCTCAGCCGCAGGTGCTCTGCTCTCCACCATCGCTTCCACCTGCAACCCTTTCCCACCACCGTCTCCCCCCTGCCTTCCGTTTCTCTGGCCACTCATTTGGTCTAGATCCAAATGAATCTGACAACGATGGGAGAACTGCCCTGGTGTGTATATATATACTACTCTCATTTGACTCCTTAAAAATTATTTCTAGAATGCAATTCTGTCTTTTTGTTCATTCTACATCCTTTTTTTGTACTCAGCATATAGCTGCATCAAAAGGAAACGAGAATTGTGTGCTACTGCTTCTGGATTTTGGAGCGGACCCCAACAGCAGAGGTATCTCCAACTTTCATACTGCTTTAAGTTATGACGTCCAAATACTGCTATGGGAACCCAACTTTGTGATGATATAGAAGCAGGAAAACAATTTAAACAATTCACCTCATTATCAAGAGGGCTGTCCTCCTTGCACCCCCCACATCATTTGTCGCAAACTAATGACAATTATAATTTGCATGCCCCTTCTTCATGGTTTATAACTACAGTAATGGCAGCAATAGTAAAAACTTAGCGAAATGTGGCCCCTAATACTCTCCAGGCGTCAGTTTTATTTATTAATTTGAGCCGTCTTTGATTTAATTGCTAGTACTGTATGATTTACCCCTCATCCTGTCCGAGTGCGGACTGTATGGGCTGGCCCTCTTGCATCAGTGAGAAGTGAAAAATACCCTTTTGGTCATTCCGTACAAGTTGAAAATGGCTGAATCTGCATCTCCTAGACAACTGTAACACCAGTCTCATTTACTCTTTTAAAAGGTGTCTATATTTACTGCGATTGTCCATTTCATTTTGGTTTGCCTGTTGATCTGTATTTTTTTCATTTTGTATTTTGTTATTGCTGTTTTTGGGGGTTGTTGTACTCAAATCTTTTATAACTCCCTTCTCATATGGTTTGAGTTTTGGCTTTTTTAAGTGTAGAATTCTCCTTACTCATTAAAGAGACTAACATGCTCTCTACAAAATAATTGGTATCTTTGAGGCATAAATATCACTTCTGAATCTTGATGCCTTCTCTTAGTCAAAGTTCATTCGACATTTAAGGCAAATCATTTTTTTCTAGTTTTGTTTGAAGACAGCATAAGCAAAGAATTGGAATGTCCAGCCATAGTCATAGAACTTAAAATACAGGAATTCTGTTTACCTTTGATGGACGTTTCCCTTTATTTACTCTTCAATGATATGAAATCAATGTCCAGCCCAACACGTTTTTAAGTTTAGAGATCGATTGCCTTTCATGACTAGGTGCATATTTGCCTTTCATTTTTAGTTCTATAATGCAGTAGCTATTAAATATGTTCTTAAGAACATGACATTGTGATGTTTTTCTGGTGCATATCTGCCTCAGATATGGCATCTGAAGCAACATCTCAGTCAAAAGGGAAAGGCAAAGGGTATTTCACTTGGACTCCTGAAATGGATCGTGTAATGGGCACCTGTTTTATTGACCAAATGAACCAAGGAAACAAATTGGATGGTAAATGTGCATTGGTAATTGATTTTTTTTGGTAATCTCCAGTTGAAGTTGTTTTGTAGAAGAAGTTGAGCTGATTGCTGGAAGCCCAAGTAGAGCAAGTAGCATTTTAGATATTGAGATTAACATAGCTGCCTGTGTTGATGCCCTGACTTGTCCTTGAGTTACATGAACCTTTGCATTCTTTTTCAAAGTTAAGGAGATTTTGTATAAGTGCTCTTCCTGTATTCTGTTGGTTTTTATCTTCCACAAGTCTGCACACTCACTAAAGAATGGATGACAGATATTATTCTATTTAGCAAGTACTTGACTGTGTGTGAATTGGTCATCTGACAAAAGTAGGGCTTTAGGCAGCTTTTTGATACCTTCCAAAGAGAAAAGACTTGAGTTTCCTCAAGGTTTTTCTGGAAGATATATCTAGTTTTGTGGAGGGATTAGTAAAGCTCCATCAAGTTAATATGTATTATTGAGTAGTGGATAAACTTTGACTAATGGGACCAACTCATTGACGTCTTGATCAACGAGCAGGGCCTAATTTTCAGCCTTTTTCTTCTGCTTGGTATATATAATCCAATCCCTACTTTTAATCTCTGTTTACCATAGTGCAGTAGAGCTTATTAAAGCATATGATTAAAAATTCAAGTACGGACATCCTTTTCTTATGCATTATTTTGCATGGAACTTGGCATGATTTGGGATATTTGCAGTGATAGGTATAGCTGTAATTTTTGTTTGAGAGTTTTCCAATAGCTAATTTGGTCTTTTGAATTAATAGCTAGTTTGGCATGATTTGGTCTTTTGACTTACCTTTTCTTATTGTTGTCATGATTTTGAATTGCAGAATTTGGATATTGACATGGATAAAGAAGGAGACGAGCAAAAAGCAAAAAAGAGAAAAGCGGTAGTTGCAAATTATATGGTAACAATAGCTACATTAGTAGTTTGGTGGCATGAGAAACATATAGTAAAGGAGCCTTACTTGGACTTTAAAGTAGCACGTGAAATATATCTAAGGCGTCTTTACTATGGAAACAATAGAGTTTGTGTAGAGCAACTTAGACTCAATAAACATTGTTTTACTGTTTTATGTACAAATTTAAGAGAGCATTGTGGGTTGACGGATACTAGAAATATTACTGTTGAAGAGGCAGTTGCAATGTTTCTCTATGTTCTTGCTCATAATTTTAAGAATCGCACTGTCAATTTTAATTTCATAAGATCAGGTGAGACAGTTAGTCGATACTTTAATATAGTTCTACGTGCTATCATAAAATTGGGGAGACACTATCTTATCCAGCCTGAATCGGAAATGGAATGTTACGAGCATGAAAAGTGGGAATGGTTTTAGGTAATCAATATTTTTTGATATTTATTAATGAAGATAATATTTACAAGATTCATCAACTTATGATATTTTGTTTATAATACAGGATTGTCTTGGAGCGTTAGACGGTACTTATGTTAAAGTACATGTTCTTCTTAGAGATCAAGGAAGATATAGGAATAGGAAGAATGAGATAGCAACAAATGTTTTAGGTGTATGCTCCCGTGACATGAGATTTACATATGTATTGCCTGGATGGGAAGGTTCTGCAGCAGATGGTAGAGTTCTACGGGATGCGTTAGTTAGATCAGATCCATTAATTGTTCCCAAGGGTATGTGACAATTAGATATCAAGTGTTTTTTTTTCTTTTAACTATAAATGAGTAATAATTTGTTGTCTAACATTACAGGCAAGTACTTTCTTGTTGATGCGGGTTATGCAAATAGCTCCGGTTTCTTAGCTCCATATAGGGGAGTTAGATATCATCTTAGCGAGTGGTCTGCTAGTGGGAGCAAGCCTCAAAATTTTAAAGAGTTATTCAACCTTCGACATTCAATTGCTCGAAATGTGATTGAAAGGACATTTGGTTTGTTCAAGAAGCGGTGGGCCATTTTGAGAGATGCATCTTTTTTTGATGTTAAGACTCATGTCATGATAATTAATGCATGTGCCATCCTTCATAACCTTATTCGAGTAGAACAACCAAATGACCCTTACTTGGATGAAGTTGATGCTGAGATGCGAAGAGTACAACATGAGGTTGATGATGAAGATGAAATGGAAGATGAAGATGAGGAAAATGGAATGGAAGATGATGGTCCAAATAATGATGGTGGTGTAAATGCTGTTAACGAGAATCGAATTCGAACAGTACAACCAACTAGCGAGTGGACACAATTTAGGAATGCTTTAGCACGAGCAATGTTTATTGACTATCAAATTAGACAAGGCCATCATGGAAGTTGAAATTTGATAGGAATTTATTCGAACTTAATTTCATATTAGAATGGCCATTTATTGAAAAATAGTAGCAATGTATAATTGTGCTTTTTTTTTCTTTTTTTTTTGGCTAAAAACACTTTGTTTGCGTATTCCTCTATTTCTTGTATTCCTATATTGAAATTTCTTGTAAGATACAAAACTCAAATATTTATAATAGGTACAAGTTATGACTTTCCTCCCAATTCATATCATAGAGTAGGCTTTTGATTTTCTAAAATTTAAAGTTCTTAACTTTAAAAACGTATCAAGGTTTTAACTCGATAAATATTAACTACTTTTTAAGTTAGAATATACAATTATTTTTTATTTAATTTAATTTAATTTTTTTTAAAAAAAGAATTTTTTATTTTTGCAAAAAAGGAACTAATTTTTTTTCTTTTAAAGCTTTATTAACAATTAGTTAAATGCAAGAAAAAATAAATTATTAAAGGTACTAATTGGTTTTTTCCTTAAAGCTTTAGTAACAATTAGCTAAATGTTAAAAAATTATTATATAGTAAAAAAAAGAAATTTTTAAAAAAGAAATTTTTTATGTAAGGAAATATTAGTTGGAAACAATTCTAATTCCTAATGAATTCTTCTCTCATACAAACAAAGAATTTGGAATTTCAAATAAATTCCGTATCAATTCTATGCATTTCCCAAACGAAAGAATTGAAATGACTTGGAATTCCAATTCATAGAATTCCAATTCTATAGAATTTCAATTCTAATTCAATTCTAATTCTGTAGAACCAAACGTACCCCTTCTATAGAATTTCAAGTTCAATTCACTCTTATGGTTCTTCATACTATATATGGTCTTTTCCCTAAGGTTGCCTAGACGGCTTTTAGTTTCATGTTTCTATGCAGTTGAGTGGTTATTAGCCAGAATTTCTTGAATCCATTGGACCTGTTCTCAATTGATATTTTGGATCTACTTTTAGTTTTTTATTTTAGGAAATCTTTTTGGTGATTTTTTCAACTGTTTTTTCTTTCAGCTTTTGGCCGTAATAAAGCTAAAAAAAAAAAAACCGAAATCAGAAGCTATAAGAATTTATAGATTCCGAATACAGAATTAATTTAGCAGAATTTATCCTGATAAATGTATACAAGAGAAGTATTGTTTATACAAATGCCCTAAAATTAAAAACTTTGCCTTCTTCATGGAATAATCAAGCAAAGCATATGCTCTTTTCACAATTTTCCCCACCCAAAGCTACAGATATATCTTCATAAAATCTTTATGTGGCCCAGATTGACTCGGCCTCTTTTTCTACATTGGTAAAACCTGACTCCTAATTTTGTCAATCCAAAAATTGATGGCTTCTAATTCTTGTGTTTAGTCTTCGCTTAGTGCATAATCTTTTGACTATCATATTGGATGCATGCCGTAAAACTAATGCCAAAGAGCACAATCTTTTGACTTTCTAAACTCGTTAATCATGCTTTCAAATTTTCAAAAAAAAAAAAGGAAAAAGAAAAACTGATTTACCTTGGTGCATTTTCAACAACTTTAGTTCATGTGAATGAGGAACATTCATTTATAGCTAATGTTGGCAATTTACCAACTTTGATGATGATGATTTCTTCTTCTACGCGTGGTAGACTTGACCTGTTCAGACTCAAGGAACTGATGGATTAACTGAATTATGATTTTCCATGGAAGAATGTAGTTTTGTGCTTAAAAAGCCAATCCATCATTCTGCTTATTTATTGGAACCCATTGGAGGCCACTTGCAACACTGATAGATCTGTCTTGGGTGCTTAGCATTTGACAAACACTCAACATTTTTCTCAAAGAAAACATGGCTCCAAGTTTTGATAATAGCAACTCATTGTTTGATTTTGTCGTAAAAAAGGGCAATGGGGTTAAAGGTCTGGTGGATTCAGGAATACAAAAGGTACCTGACAGATACGTCCAACCATCATTTGAGCGAATAGGAAAGCTTGTTGTAGGGTCCTATGAGAATTCTTCGCCTATCGATTTATCAAAGCTGGATGGTCCTGACCACGACCAAGTGGTGGAGGCCATTGTTAGAGCTTCTGAAACTCTTGGCTTCTTCCAAGTTGTTAACCATGGTGTGCCTGTGGATCTCTTGGACTCACTGAAAGATGCGGCACATCAGTTTTTTGCCCAACCTCCAGAGTCAAAGGCTGTTTTTTTGAAGGGAATTAGTCCCAGCCCTCTTGTGAAGTATGGAACCAGCTTTGCACCTGATAAAGAAAAGGCTTTGGAATGGAAAGATTATGTCAGCATGGTTTACACTAATGACTCAGAGGCTCTTGAGCATTGGCCTAAAGATTGCAAGTAAGAAACTTCACTACATAATTAGAATTTCTTTAAACATCTCATTTGTCATCATGGACTAACATGCAGGAGATTTTACAAGCACTATCATTCACTTCTAGTTTTAAACAATTTCAAACCTTTAAAACCCTTGCCATACTTTGGTGTCAAGTGGAACTCGCTCACCATATCTAAGAATGATGATTCATAAACTCACTAATGTTTTCTCATATTTTCTCAAATTTTCTTCTTTTACTTTTTGATCAGGGAAATGGCACTTGACTACATGAAATCCTCAATAAAGATGGTGAGAAGGCTACTGGAAATATTATTCGGATATCTTGGAGTGGAAGTGGATGATTCAAGAGTGGAATCACTCTTAGGCTTAAAGATGGTCAACATGAACTTTTACCCTGCATGCCCAAATCCAGAACTGACTGTTGGTGTGGGGCGCCATTCTGACATGGGTACTTTTACTGTGTTATTACAAGATGGTATTGGAGGCTTACATGTAAAAGTAGAAAACGATACTGTTGAAGGTCAAAAAGAAGACTGGTTGGAGATTCCACCGTGCCCCGGTGCTTTAGTTATCAATGTTGGAGATGCATTACAGGTTAGAGCTCCATTCTTAACATCTTTTACTATTCCAATTAGCACAGGATAAATTTGCTTTTTTAAGAGACATAGAGCCATACACATATTCTGAAAATAGTCAGTGTATGTTACCTCTCGTAGGCATGTACACATATTCTGAAAATAGTCAGTGTATGTTATCTCTCGTAAGCATAGTTATTAAATCCGACTCGACAAGCAACTCGCAAAAAGATCGAGTCGGTGAATCATTTGTTCAACCGATGAATACTAATATTTATAATACAAAACAGTAATTTTAGTATACACAAAATGTATAATAAAGTGTTTTTGGATATATAATAACCATACAAACATTAATAGAAGACTTAATTTCATTTTATCGTACTTATTACAAATAAATTATGTAGCCAAACATAAAACAAAATTATTTGACTTATCTTCAAGGATATAGCAATACTTTTTTATCAATTTATTTTTTAAAAAAAATTTCTAAGTACTCAAATATTGTAACATAATGATAACATTTTTAGTTTGAAAGTTAAAAGGACTAATTTCATCAATTTATTTAAAGGAACATTTAGTTATTAAAATAAAACCTAAGCAAATGGTAAACTCTTATACACATTTAAAAAGAGATCCAATGTCCAAATCTTGTCAAAACTATATATACATTTTGGTTAAAACAAAGACCTAGAATTGTTTAAAAAAAATGAATCAACCAAAAAATTCCTGATTGAACTGGTGTGTCAAACAAGTTTCGCCAAATTTCATTGGATCAATTTCTTATCCAGTGGCTCAACCCAACCAAATGACCAACCACCAAACCAAACAGTTCAACCTTTGGACGAGACCAGATTTAATAACTATGCTTGTAGGAACTTTTAAGAATCTATGGCCCTGTTTGGAAGCTTGGTTTTTTACCAAGTTTGTATAAAACTAGTTTTTTAACAACTTTTGCTACAGGAACCCAAAAAACTTATCAAAGTTTTTAACCTACACACTTTAAAAATATACAAAAAATTTTCCCTTCAACTTTTCTTCTTTTTCCTCCCCCACCCAACCCACCACATCCTCCGGCACCGGCGACCATCTCCACCACCACTTCCGGCGCCGGTCACTATTCCGGCAACCAGTTCCGGCGGTCCTCTTTTTTTTTTTTTTTTTTTTCTCACCCCTCCCTCCTCTCTTCGACTCTGCCTCCTCCGCCACCCTCCCCCTCCCCGTTTCCCTTTGCCCAAACTGGTCTCTGATGCTCTTTTCCTTTTTTTTTTTTCTGTCTCTCTCCCCCCTCCCCTCTTTCCCTCTGCCTCCCCCGCCACCATCCCCCTCCCCCTTTGACGGATCTGGTCGCGTGACCAGATCGCAAAGGAAGAGAGGGAGGGGGGCTGCGATCTGGTCGCAAGACCAGATCGCAGCTAAAGGAGGGGGAGGGTGGCGAGGGAGGGGAGGAGAGGGGGAGGAGAGGGTGGCGGGGGTGGCTGGGGAGGGAAGGGGAAGGGAAGGGATGGCGGGGGAAGGAAGGGATGGCAGGGAAGGGTGGTGGGGGAAGGAGAGGAGAGGAGAAAAAAAGCAAAAAAAAAAAAAAAAATTTGATTCTCACCTGTTGGTTGCTGCCATGGAGGTACCGGGAGAGGGATCAGGGGAGTGAGAAGGGGAAGAAAGGGAGGAAGGAAAAGAAAAAAAAAAGAAAGAAAAAAAAAAGAGGGGGAGGGGAGGGTGGCAGGGGTGGCTGGGGAGGGAAGGGGAAGGGAAGGGGTGGCGGGGGAAGGAAGGGATGGCAGGGAAGGGTGGTGGGGGAAGGAGAGGAGAGGAGAAAAAAAGCAAAAAAAAAAAAAAAAATTTGATTCTCACCTGTTGGTTGCTGCCATGGAGGTACCGGGAGAGGGATCAGGGGAGGGAAGGGGGAGGGAGAAGGGGAAGAAAGGGAGGAAGGAAAAGAAAAAAAAAAGAAAAAAAAAAGAAAAAGAAAGAAAGAAAATGAAAATGAAAAAAATTTTCATCTTACAAACACCCAAATTTTTACAAAAGTTTTTTCTACAACTTCTACAGTGATCTACAGTAAAGTTTTATACTAACACCCAAAAAACTCACCTTCCAAACAGGCCCTATATCTTTTCTTCTTTTGCTTCCCATGAAAGCGTCAAGCTTGGGGTTGGCGGCATGGTAGTTGGGATACAACCTTTTTTTTTTTATATATATATATGAACATAATAAGCTTTTTGATGATTTATGAGGTCAACTATTCAACTATCAAGTGTTCTTCCTATCTTCGAGCCAATATAAAGGTACCAAATTTGATTTGGAAATAATTGAGTGCATGCACCAATTTTAAGCTGAACAGGAGCAATGACACTAGGTAAATTCAAATGTACGTCGGTAAATTTATCAAAATTTCACTGCACACCCTTAGAAGTTGATTACCACATCAGACCTCCTCCTCCCCAAATTGTGCAAGATCGAATGCTTCCTGCCTCTTGTACATCGAACAAAAATATTGATATGATCATATGCAATCATACAAGCACTTATTAGGCGTTTTATTTTGTTCCCCAGATCCTAAGCAATGGAAGGTACAAAAGTGCTGAGCATAGAGTTCGTACCACAAACAAACAATCGAGAGTGTCCATACCAATTTTTACCGTTCCAAGACCGACGGAGAAAATTGGTCCACTGCCTCAACTGGTGGAACGTGATGGAGTGGCTCACTATAAAGAAGTAATATTTGAGGACTACATGAACAACTTTTTCGGAAAAGCGCATCAAGGAAAGAAATCACTTGATTTTGCCAAAATCAATTAATTTTAGCTAATTCTATAGCTTAAAATCAGATAAAAATAAAAACAAAAAGAAACCAGATAAAATCCTTACGGCATGTATCAGTGAAGGAAGTAGCTAGTTATTAGGTGGTCATGAGAAAGAGGTCTGCAGAGAAAGAAGCAAAAGATATTGACATGTCAATAAGCATACAAAAATATCCAGTAAAAACTGCAATGTACTAGAGGTGAAGATCATGGCTTGATAATAGACCTAAGCCCTCACCCATACATTAGGTTTGAGAGTGAGATTTATCCTCTTTGCAACATTACTTTGAAATCACTATGACACCTGAACCTTTTTCTTTGTCATCGTCTTATAACTAGCAGCAAATTTAAGGCTTTCAATGTGAATTTGAGTCTTCCAAGAGGGTAAATAAATGCATCGTTCATTTGAATCTTCTTGTTTCACGAGTGAAAATCAGACTCACTAGTAAAATTGATATCTTGATGCAGTAGACTGAAGGTGGTGGAATAATAAAAAAATTTGCAGTTCAAATTTCATTTCTCTTGTGTAGTAGTAACACTTTCAGGATTCCAAAAAAAAAAAAAAGATGGGAAAACTCATTGGATTCACCTCCTTATTGCCATCTTGGTTGATGCTCTTACCTAAGTTGCATAAGAAAGCAAGACTCAAGCTGCAGAAAAGCAAACTGCTTCCCTCTTCCTCTTGGATTCCCTCCATCAACCTCAGTCAGAAGGGATGAAACAAACAAAAAAGGAAAAAAATTACCTTATCACAAGCACTAGAGAGCCACAAATGTAAAATGATGGTTCAAAAAGCACAAATAACAAACAAAATCTGCTGCACCGAGAAGCAGCAATTGCAACCTTTCCACCGCCAAAAGATTCCAAACACTCTTCTTCTGATCTGTATCTAAGAACCATAAATTTAAGGCATGCACATTACCACTATATTTAATAAGTTAAAAATGATGTAATGAGTCTAATTACCAAAAAGGATTGGCAATCAGTGAAGCAAACTGCAGCCACAAAAAGCTACCATTTTCTATTTTACATACAAATATGATCAAATGTTAAAGACAAACAATACCTTTGCAACCTATATACTTAAACATAAGCCATAGAACTTTTTAAACCTGCACTCGGTGTGCTGTATGATATCAGCCTCAGTGGTATTACCCTCACGCTCTGTGCAAGTTAAAAAGAGCTGAAAATGCTGATTGCCTTGCTGTTGCTGTTTCTCCACTGTCTTTCAAAGAGCGCAATGTAAATGGTCTATTTTATTTAACCCTTTAATGCATACCACAGCAACAACAAAGGCAATAATCTCTAGCGTCTTAAGTTAGATGTTTCAGCAGGCTCGTAAATGATAGGCTTCCATTGTTGGATCCCAAGAATTAGATTGGAGAGTCATCTCCCTCTTGGCGTTGCATGAATCCTTGGGAAAGCAGCAGTAAAGATGATTTCTGACAAAAACCAAAGGCATAGAGCTAAGCATTCTACAAACAACTCAAAAGGCATACACTTTCATTCTTCTTCTTTTTTTTCTTGAGCGAATATAATTTGAAGTTTTTTAATGAATTTTTAGTTGACTGATACTGTCAAAAGACTGAAGCTCTGCAGTACTGAGAAAGATTAAAAGCTAAACTTTTGCGAATGCAGAAAAATATGTTGACCCTACCTCACAGGTTTCAAAACTCAGAACTGTTCGGAGGTTTGTCTACTCACAATTCACATACAAATCAGACTTTTTACTACAATTTTTTTTTAAAAAAAAGTGTTCTAATGAAGTGCATTTTGCTTAAGGGAAGACCTTAGCTTTCCATGAGTTGGCACCAATCAATCCAATTTCAGTACCCTCACTTGGGCCTAATTGGGTTTCCATTAAACTGTGTACTTGTTCAATTTACTTATTGGAGATAAATAATAGTATTATAAATGTGGAACTAGAAAATTTGTTACTGAATTACAGAACAATACCACCAAAAGAAGGCAGATAACTCATGTCAATTATACCCTATTCAAAAGCAAACAAAAAATTTATCACGAAAGCATTGGCAAATAAATATAGAACCGGCATGGTGAACTTGTTCATCTTTTAAATTTACAAACCTTTGTTCCAGCCACAATGGCACCATGAACCGGATGAGCAGTACATGCTGTGACAGCTTCGGAGAGTGGAATAAATGTATTTTGCTTATGCTGACCATTTGCGACCATGTCCTGAGAATCCTCGCTGAGGGAAACAAAATAAGCTTAGCCCAACCTCTTTGCCAAAAGTATTCTAGCCATTGCCTCCCCACTCCAGTTCCAAGTCGAAGCAAAAGGAGTTGATTTTAAGTCTCTCTCTCACATACACACACACATGTATATATACATGTATATATATATATGTGTGTGTGTGTGTGCGTGTCTGTAGTAGAGAGGGAGAGAGAGGGAGGGGGAGAGAGAGAGATTTCAATGAATGACCAGAATATTAGCCACCTTTACAAGGCGACATGATTTCACATTTCAGATACAAAAGCATTACAACTAAAATAACCATATAAGCCAACATTCTTCTACAAACTTGCAAAATTCTAGCAAACTAGATTATCTGCAGGGGTATGAACTGCAAAAAGTTCTTGATAGAAAAAATAAAAAGCAACTTATAGGAGTATCTTACTTGTCCACATGACAGGGGGATGTGCAGCGTGGATAGAAATCTAAAAGATGAAGTCCTGTTCTGGAAGATGATCCCACTGCATATATCTGCAACAAAGTCATTTAAGGGATAAAGTCATTCTTTGGTTCTTCTACACTAATTGGAGCGGAAACATGAGAGTGATGGCATAAGATCATCTGCTTATTACGACTTAAGTTTCAAGAGATGAAAGTAGCAATTCATCTCACATAAAAGAAAACAGACAGCAGGCTCGCTTAAGATTGGTCAAAGAGCTTAGTTTATTTTAATTATGATGTTAACAAGGGAAAATTAATTATAGGGAAAATCGTTCAAAACGTCCCTCACATTTTGCAAAACAACATTTTTCGTCCCTCACTTTTAAAAATGTAATTTTACGTCTCTTACAAATTCACATTGGCCAAATTTGATCCCTACTTAGGTTTCCGACTAGTTTTTGATCAAAATTCACCATGTGCCTTGCACATGATTATATTTTAAAGGTAAAATTGTCAAATCAAATTTTATATAATTCGAATCATAATCCCTCACATTTTATAAAATAAATTTTTTCGTCCCTTACATTTCACAAAATGAATTTTTTTATCCTTCACATTTTTCAAAATGAATTTTTTCATCTTTTATTGATCATGTGTGTGAATAAATTTTTTTTAAATCCATGTATATATCTGTTTGATTTCACCTGAACAGTACAAATAGAATGTGAAATCAAATAAAGATATATTACATACTATTCGTACTGCTCAAGTGAAATCAAATAGATATATACATGGATATAAAAAATTGTTAGTTTTTCACTTATATTCATTTTCTTTTACTCGAAATTTGAAAATAAAGAAGACATTTAATCCTAACTATTATCGAGTATTTATATCAAATTAAATTTGGGCAGAAAAAATAAACAAAAGAAAAGTATGATAAAAAGAAATAAGTGATTGACATTTTCAAATTTTAAGACAATCACAAGGCAAGTGATTCAACTGTTGGTCTTAAAAGTATCGAATAGAAATTTCATATTTAAACTGAAATTTGTTAGCACAATTATAGAATTCAACTTAGGACCAATTAATTAGATGACATTATTATACAATTCCATAAATAAATTATTACCAAAAGAGAAATGTCACAAATATTGAATAGGTTCAAATGGTGAAATCATATAAATATATAATTGGGTCTCAAACAAAATTATTAGTTTTAAACCCCTATATATATTTATTGAATAGCATGTGTATAACTACGATTAGCATGTTTAGATGAAATCCAATAAAGATAAATTACATGTTATTCGTACTGTTCAGATAAAATCAAATAGACATATACGTGGGTTTATAAAAAAATATCTATTCATACACATGATCAATGAGAGATGAAAAAATTCATTTTGAAAAATGTGAGGGATGAAAAAATTCATTTTTTGAAATGTGAGGAACCAAACAATTCATTTTATAAAAATTTTAGGAACGAAAAAATTCATTTTGTGAAATGTGAGGAACTATGAATTAGATTATGTAAAAATTTGATTTGACAATTTTGCCCTTAAAAAATGATCACATGCAAGTCACGTGGTGAATTTTGGCAAAAAACGAGTCAAAAACTTAGGTAGGGACCAAATTTAGTCAATATGAATTTGTAAACGACGTAAAATTACACTTTTAAAAGCAAGGGACGAAAAAAGTCATCTTATAAAATGTGAAGGACGTTTTGAATGATTTTCCCTTAATTATACATTCTGCATCCCAGAATCGAAGAAATCATATCTACGAATGGCTAGTGCAATGGACAATAAGCAAGCCATGCAGCCATCTTATAATCCAACCAGGTTTTAAAAAAAAAAATCTTGGTTTCAGTAGAGTATTTTATTAGCACAATAATATCAAGCATAAAAAGCACCACATGTATTATGGGTTCTGTAGCAACTATATGATTGAAGATTAAAAACAATTATTGTCCAATAGGCAATGGAGTAGAGTTGGTGCAGACTATTTAACTCACCGAGGACAAAGGTAACCAGGATGGCTTTCTAATGTATGACAAATTGGCCAAGTCATTGAAGTCATCCCTAATCCAACACATCAAGAAGCAGACCAGTAAAAAGCGGGAAAAAATTCAAACAGAAAAAAAAGAAAAGAAAAAAGAATCCAGTGATGCATTCTTCTTGAGGCATTTTAGTTAAAAATTGCTTCTAATACTCACAACCAGGCTGGGGGAGGGCAATGAATATGTGTCACTTGCAAATTATGGACATCAAAAACACCTGACCTGTGGGGAAAATAAAAAAAACATAAGCAAGCAAGTTGGCAGCTAGAGACATCTATATTAGAAATTGAAAGACAGAAAAGATGCAAAAAAGGACACAAACACTGTGCTGTTACTTGTGTGCGCTGATGGAGCTCTAAAAAGGATGCAAACACTGCTATTTGATATCATGAACAATTATATTCAGCCAGAATCACTCATAATCCAAAGCATAGTTTTTATTTTCTATCACAAATGTCTTATCTTTTGCTTTGACGTTGCAGTTCCTACCCCTTGAAGATTCTTGCATGACAGTTTTAACATACATAATTGCAATTATATAACTAGCTTCCCCAATTCCTATATAATAGACTGCAAAGACATCAATAGCATAAAAATTTCTTCCCAGAAATATCCATGACATTCGCATATTAATCAGCTGGACAAATACAATAAGTCCCAGTAGATTAAAAAATAAATAAAAAAAGGCTTCATGCTAGGTTGAATTATTATAGCTGAAAATTAGTTTAAGTTTCTAAAGGTTACAGCTTGAATGACAAAAGTTTTACATTTAAAATGAAATTACATCAGACTTCCATTAAAGGATTTTAAAACAAAGAGCAAAGAAACAAACATGAATTAAGTTTAACGACTGCAGAACCATTGCCTGATCCTCAAATTCAGCTGAAAATCTGGCTTTGAAAAAAAAAAGGAATAAAGAAGCTGGAAATGCTTCCATTTCTAAGGCCCAAAGAAAATTTCCACAGGATCAGTCAAACAAAGAAGCAGCTAAGTTCAAAAAAATTGCAATAACAAGAAACAAAAGCATGTCTTTATCATGAATTAGAACATTGATGTGAATGCAATAGGAAAAACAACAAATTTAATATCTACATTCTATTGCATGACCTACTTTGCTGCGTAGAGCCAATTTTTGTTATTTATTGAATATATGACCTGGTACAGAAGTGCTAATCACCTTACAAATGCAATCAGAAAAAAAGATCCATGGAACTTACTGTGGTAAAGTATGGAGTGCCACTAGCAATGACTATATTCCAGATCAAAAAGAGTCAATTCATTTTCTATTGGGGAACCTGATTTTGTTTCTGAGTGCATGATAGTTAGCTGATAAAAGATGAGTTAAAGGTGATGGAGCACTTATCATTACCTATATCGCATGATCATTAATGATCCACTCCACAACTTCTCAGTAATCAATCAAACAAATCGTCACTTTCTTATTTATAGGTCTACCTAGCTTTTTCTGAACTTTCTACTTGCTTCTTATGTTTTTCTCTGTTTATATTCCTGAATGCTAACTACAGCATTCTAATACTGCTTTCTCCATGAGAATACCATGGGAAAATCACATTGCCATATATGAAGACCTCCTCCAGTAGAGCTGTAATAGAGTTAAATCAAGTACAAGACTGTACCAAATTCCTAGCAAAAAGTTCGTGATCTTTCTAAAGGAGGTGAGAATTACCCAATAGGAAGATTCAGCTTGGATTAACCAACAAAGAACTTAGGTTTAGAATGTGCACTGACCAGAATATTTTCATTTTTGGCAAATTTTGGCAACATAACCACTTTTTCTGCAACTAGTAGTGTTAGAGCAGTTATACCATGACATAACAACAAGAACAATGAAATGCCAATTGAGAAAAGAAAATCTAAAACTATAGTAGAAAACAAAAGAATCATTTCCCAAGATTTAACATGCAAAATTTGTCTTGCACTTAGTGAAGATGGAAGGGGCAAAGAAAAGCACATCCAGTTAGTGTCCAACCTACCAGCCATCATCAAGATGAAATGCTAATTGATATGGGCAAGATGGATTGAGGTCAACTGAAAGTATCTCCTTCGGAACAATATTTGATTGAGCCTGCATTGTGAAGAACAGGAATCTAATTTTCAAGCAAGAAAATACTCAGGCCGGCTAATTTAATCCAAATAGCATGACCAACAATCTCCATATTCATCAATGACATCAAATATTTCTTCTTGAAACATTTCAGAATGTGCCCATAACCTTGTAAATCAGTAACACATAATAAAGAAACTGCTACATTTCATTCTTTCTGCTAAATGGCAAACTGGTTCGCCCTCTAGTATGCACGATATTTATGAAATAAAGTTAAGTCATTAGCCAAAAAAAAAATCCATGAAGGAACCAAGTACTTAAGCAAACTAGGCAGACTGAGAAATGATCAATTGGCACAAAGAAAGGAACCAAATACTCGAAGGTAATTGAACCATTTCTTCCATGAGCTGAAGAAAGAAAAACTAGAACAGGAACATGACTAAAAGGAGATGGAAAATGAAAGTTAAGAGAAAGATGAAACAATGTCATTAACCAGACAAAACCCGAATCAAGGAATACTGACTGCATCAGATGGCACTGTTCTCTTCAACTGTGGATCATTTAAATAAAGGACAACTTAAATGGTAGTTTGAGTTCCACTTGTTGGAGGAAGAAACAATTTATGCATAAGTTGCTGGTCATATTTGGTGGCCTGTGTGACGATGTATACAAAAGCATAAAGAACATTGTACTCCTCTCAATCAACCTAAGCCTTTAAAGAGGTGGATCTCACCATGGTATAAGATTAAGCAAAGATCTCCAGTTCTCTCCGCTCCAGCACTCAATGCTGCTAGCTATAGAAGAATATATCACACTGCTTTCCAACTTAAGCTTTTACATGATGTGGTCATTTAACATACATACATTCTCTTAGTCGTTAGGTTCACCCTAATAATTCAAGTTATAGATCTCTATGATCAAACAAATCCATCGAAGCAAGTGAGGCTGTATGTGTAATAGCATCTACCAGTGGGTGCAAAGTTTCACCACAGCAAAATAACACATCCTGCTTTTGAAAGAAATACAGCAATATATATTGAAATAGGAACTAAAATTTCTTGGACAGTTTAGTCTCAAGTTGCTGCTAGTACACTTTTAGTTTTATACATTTATAGGTTATAGCTGCAGCCACAACTTCAATTTACTAGCACTGGATGATTCGAGTCCTTGCGCCATAAGTCCTCATCTAACCTGTTATTTTTCAAACATCATAACCCAAATTAGGGAATTTCCTTAAATGGCAACTTTTAGTGCTCTTCAATATTCATCCGTAAATTACTGCTTCATAGCCATAAAAGATTACAGGACCAATGCCAAAAAATTTTGCATTTGTGTGATGGAGAGAATATATTTGCATCCATTTACCCTCGATGGAAGAACATCATATTTAGACTTTCATCTCAATTCCTGTTTCTGGTGTCTTTGTTTCATCACCTATGGTTTTCTTATTTCAGTGAATAAGGCTATTATTTGTCAGCTGGAGATCTTATGTTTACATTGTTCAGCCACACTGATTGATGGTTCATCAAAGACCTTTCTGAAACTACTCTTATTTTCCTTCACTACGATGTCATGAAGAAAGTCAACTTAATAACAACTATTGTTTCGACCAATTTGAAGGACAGACTCACATTTGATCACCATGAACTCAACAGAGAAAGTCAAAGACTTTTCCGAGTTAGAAAAAGCTCCTCCATTCCATTAAAATTGTCATCAAATTCTAATCCACCCTGGAATCAACCATTCACACTTTTAGTAAATATAGCAACATGTCCCCTTGGTGAAAGTTAAGATTCATGAAAAATACTATTATGTGGATTCTTCAAACACCGTGGCAGTCTGTCTTTCATAATCAATTCTTACAACTAATCAGACTAAAGTCAAATTCTTTCTGCACAATGTACCAGGTTAGAAGCACCATGCATGCACAATTGCTTCAGGGAAAAAGCATGAGCATGTAAATGTGATGAATGCATACCTTCAAAGATCCAATTTTCTCAAATTCAGAGGCTAGCTTCACAGATGTTATAGGAGAATAATATGCCTGCTATCAGGAAAATGATCCATTAGAGAAATTATATAATAATACTGGCTATTATGAATGCAGATGGCCGTTCTCTTTGCACAATGATCTGAAAGACAATGGCAACAATTAAGAATTAAGTAACAATTTATCGTCCTCATAAATGTGCAAGTGTGATGTGTGTAACCAATTAGAAAAAGTCATCACTCGTTATATTGATAGTTGAATTACAAAAGTAAAAGTATATCAGTGCATAAGGTGCAATTTAGGACTTTGATTTTTATAAGAAGTGTAAAATTGCTGTGATCAATGAGGGAAACTGTACCCAAGATACATCAAGATCTTTGTAGAGTCTAGAGAACAGAAAAGAACATAAAGCTGTTGACTCTTTGCAGGAAAATACTATTCAGAAAGCTTAACACAGTTACCTACTGTACCATGTGCTGAACATGTAAGCATGTAAGCACTAAAAGAAAAAGATTAAAAAAGAAACCATAAGTTGTAAGAGTAGAACCATTTTGTTATTTTGGAAAGCAGCTGATGAGCTTCCTCCACGTAGATCCCACATATAGATAACGCCATGTTTGCTAGCCCCAAAAATAACCTGCTGGTTCAATATAATATGATCAATCATAAAGCATATCATTCTTTATGAAAGCCTCAGTTAAAAACATATGATTATTAATCCTTCATACAACTTAGTTAATAAGATCAAGAAATGACCTGATTATCAATGTTAAACTTGATACTGTTAATTGCACTGGTAGAATTCGTTGTCAGATCAAGACACGGAAGATTACTCATTCTTCTATCCCAAATATTAACCATGCCAAGCATATCAGAAGCAAGTACCCTGTTCAGGGAAGCATCAAATGAAAAAAGTGAATAAAGTTAAGGCTTCATGAAGAAATGGTAGTGAATACTTAAAAATGGCATATGAAGGTTTTTCCCAATCAGACAAAGGTCAATGCAACCAACATTGCAAAGGTAAATGTACTGACAGCTTATTATGTAAATAGTCTGAACATCAAGCAAAGAAGAAAAACAGACAGCAGAATTGAATATGGAAGAAACATGTAATTCAAGGAGATTATCTCAACCCGACCTCCTCCCCGCCACCTAGTACCCAAGTCCACTAAAGCATATGCATAAACTCAAAGTCTGACAGTCAGAAGATTTTAAGAGCAGAAATTCCTTGCAATGTTATTACATTATTTCTGCAGAAGTATGAGTAGTGAATCTTTGCAACAAATCAAGCATAGTTTCTCAAACACAGAAATTCTCCATAGAAAAAGGTCCTATGAAAACCATCATGGCTAAAGATGAGATGAATCAAGCCAAGTGTTGCACGTGTCAACCTTGGCTTACTCATCAGCTAGTCAAAATTCTGAGTTCAGCTCAAGTACCACTTAAAAAATCAAATTCTGTTGAAGCTTGGGTCATGGAGAAACTGGAGGTTCAAGATCAAGCTTGCTCAACTCACAAGGAGTAACAAGCTAACCTTGAGTTCAAGTTTGAATTTGTAAATTTGATGAATTTTATTACATGTAATACCAATCACATATTTGAAATATATGTTAAATTGCAAGTTGTAATACAAGTATCACAATGTTTGACACTTTAATTTTGTAATCTATGATAAGTAAATGCTAATTTCATAAAGCACAATATCAAACCTCACTTCTTAAGTCTTATGGATTGATATCAAACTTCAAAGCATGGACTGCTGAAAGAGTAGCTACTGCAAATGTAGCAACCAACATGCTTTTTCATCTCAGAGAACCATTTTTTTTAATGGCTTCTGCAACACTTCATTCCTAATACTTGCAATTTCCATATTGTGCAACCTTTTATAAGCTTCACATCTATAAGCTATCCAGACTTCTGACAAATACTTGTATATTCGGTCCACAAGATTTGAGTCTTTTATGCAAGCATCAATTATTTAAACAACAAGAGCCTTTTTTCCCCTCTTCAGTTGTTTCAAACTGCAACTCAACATTCTAGCATGACATTATATATATTTTTTTCCCAGAGGACCTGTGGTGTTTCAAAATTGTCTCATCTGTTTTAATTCCAATTAAAGGTCAACCAACACACTGAAACTTCGAATTTTCCTACTTGATTCATATGTAAAGTATCCAGAGAGGAAAGAGTTGCCTAACTAGAATGGTTACAGTAGTTTCTGCGAAAAATCAGGCATATATACATTAAAAACCCTACACTTCTGTCACTCTTAAGGAAAAATGACAGAAATAAAATCTTTTACCTTACAGCTGATGGCCTTCTATAACTCATAGTTTTAGAAATTACATCCACTTTCAAACTAGAACTGTCAATCTCAACAGCAAAAATAATAATGTTTCCACTTTTGACCAACCTTGACTTATCATTTGAAGAAAAAGCTACATCAGATAAACCCTTCTGCACAACACAACCATGAACACCAATTGTAGGCCTCTTTTTCAATACCTGCATGAGTGATAGAAAGAAACAGATTCAGAATGGACAATTTGAAAGCTTAAAATCTTAATCTTGATGAAAAATCAAAAGATGGCCCAAGATTGATAGAATTTGAAATGGTAGTTGTAACATGATATTATTGAGTAATAGTGAAAGGAACATCTATTTCGTCCCTGGTAATTTCCAAAATTCCACATAATGGAGAAAAATTGGAAACACAAAAGCCAAATTGCAATCTGAATATTTATCATACAAATAGTTGCAACATCTCCTAATAATCAAAGAATGTGTAGGTGTAAATCACAGCTGCATATAAATTAGCCTTACTATTTCAAACCCTGATGAGACAAAACATCAGCAGAATTTAATCACCAACAGTAATACATGCATGAAGCTAGAAAGAAGAAGGTTCCTTTGGGTGGCAGAAAGAAATCATAAAATAAGATTCCAGCCAGAGAGTAATCAGAGTAGGCACATCAACATGCATGTATCAAAAAGGAAAATGTTAGATAGAATTCTTCTACTTTAGGACAATTATAACAAATAAAATGCAACAAAAGTAAGCTGGCAAGAAATAATAGCCTAAACCTTTGTCTTATCTTTAAAGAAAACAAAAACTTAAAGGTCCAAGAAGATGAACTGCAGTTAAGAAAATGTTCCAGAACTTTATACCTCTAGAGTTTTGCGAGTACAAACTTTTGCAAGTTATCTTGATTTTAGTACACATTTGAACATTGATAAAGGTTGGTGCACTTAAACATGCACCTAAAATCAGAACGAATTTAGATTCAAGGTTGGAAAAATTAGATAAAATAGGAACATTATTAAGAAAAACATCAAAGCGAAAGCAGGAACATAGAGGAAAGCGCATCCAAAGAGAATAATATGGTACATTCAGAGGAATGAGACACTACACCATGCAATTTCACTTTCACAAGAATGAACTTCCACTACAAATTTCTTCCCCTTATGATGAAGGAAAAATAGTGGTCATATTCTGTTTTCTGACATATGTTTACCAACGACAGACCATACAATTCAGAACACAACAATCAAGTCACCATCAGGAAGTGAAAGTAACTGTCTGGACAGCACTCTGTTACAAGGAAATCCGGTCGAAAGGAATTATACGAAGTTTAGAAATTCCATTGAAAACTGTCATATGATATAAGCACCCATTTCAACTTGAAAATTTATTTTGGAACTTGTATAAACCTCTACCAGGGTTCTTTTGGCATGATGAAACTACTTAACACTCCAATTACAAAGTTTTCCCTGATACTAATACTCATATGTGTTTCAAGATTGATGTTTCATAAAAGTTGCATTTAAACAACATGCAGAAAGGAATACTTACTTCAACAGGTTCAGAGGAGATATATCCAATATCATAGATATGAAGTTCTCCACTTTTTCTAGATGTCAAGGCAACCTAAACAAGAAAGGAACAGACCATTTCATTGACTCTGAACCCAGAATATAACCACTGACAAAAAGAAATTGAAAATTAATAGAGCAATAAAGAAACAAGCAGAAGCATTATCCAGTAAGAAATACCATGACTGAACTTAAAGGAAAAAGGATTTTAGATTCCTAATGTTACAACTTGCAACGGAGTAAAACTTCAAATTCTTAAGCCATGCATATGAATGTTGTTGGCCAACTACAGAATTTCCCAAGCAGCCAAAAAACTAACTAATATTTATCAATATTAAAGAAATCAACAAAGGAAAGAAAACCAGAAATGTATGCTTCAATTCCAAGGTTTACCTCACCAATATTTCAAATTTTTCTTGCACATATGATTAAGGATGTGGGCAGATAGCACTAATAAATGAAATGAATAGATTGAGAGACCTTTAGGAAAAGTAGCACTCTACTGCAGAACATTAAGCTACATGATTTGTTAAATCTTAAAGTCACAAAATTCAACTGGTATTCCTTCTTTCCAATCAACAAGATATGAAAAGGTTAATGTGTCAGTAGAAAAGCACAATATAGTAAAATATGTTGTTATAACTCGGACATTAGATGTCCACAACCAATTTGAATAACCAAAACGTAATTAAGACATGCCTTGGGATCATCAGGCAGAACCAAATCATTGAAGTACTAAGTCCTCGACTGCCTTCCTAAGATAAGAAACACTCACTGAATATGCAAATTGGAGAAATGGATGAGCTAATCAGAAATTACAAGGCTGTTTCTTCCACTCCCCATTGCAAGAATGGAAGAGAACAAGCAAGTTGGAAATTTTAGTAGCTAGTGTACATTCTACATATCCTCTTTTTAGTAAACCAAAAAGAGTTCTGAAAAATACAAGGATTTATTACTATTATCAAATAGAAAGTGAAAAGTGATACTTTAAGACAAGAAAACTTTTTCGCGTCTCTACTGCCATGTGCTGCATATACAAGAGTTTTTCTCATGGGGTGACAATCGGCATTATTGCTGATTTGATGGTAGAAAGCAATTTGCTGCTTTATGCTTTTCTATCTATTTGGTTTGTTTCCCTTGAACTATTAACTAAAATCATTTATTTGAGTATTAAGAATGACTTTTACTTCTGCATACCAGAAAGAATTTAAAAAAATAGACTTTGACTTGGATTTAGTATATCTACCAATATCAGACCTTGCCCCAATATCAAAATCCTGGGACAGTTAATAATTAGTGCTTAAATTAACATAAGAGTAATAATAATGAAAGTGGCAATAATAATTACTGATATACTTTCCATAAAGACAGCAAGGGCAGTGTTCATAATAAGCAGACATACTGTAACAAGTGTTTTTGTGTAAAACAGAAAGCAATTACATCCTCCAGTCTTAATTAAGGGAGAAGAATGCAAAAGTCACTCTTGTGAAATTATTAAAGAACCAAAAATATTGCATTATGAGCTTCATGTGAAATTATTTATTGCTCTTGAAGCACAGTCAGCTAGAATCATTTTAAAAAGGATGTAGCAAGAGAATACTTATGCTCCATCTCTTAATTTTTCAGTTCATATCTAAAGGGTATGTGATATGACCTCTAATTATCTTCAACCGATAAGCACTCACTTCTTTTCCCTTCATCAAGCATGGCCATGAAAACTATGCAATACAGTCTTTTAGTTACAAAGCTAATAAACAACTTACAGATATAACATGTTTTGAAATGCATAAAGTTGGAAGTGGAAGGGCATTCAAACCTCATCTTCATTTGCAAGGTTCCATCTAACAACATCCAGCGGCTGATGTGCAGAAATGTGCAGAACTTGCTTTGTCTCATCTTCTTTTACTATAAAATTCTTCAGGCTTACTGGGGAAAGGAGAAGAAGGCAATTTTGAGACAAAACTTGAAATGTGAAGGAATTTGAGAAAAGTAAACAAAAAGAAAATACCACCAAATTCTCGTTCTGAACTAGGAACAAAAAGAAAATACCAAAAAGTAAACAAAAAGAAAATACCACCAAATTTTCATTCTGAACTAGGAGCAAGGGTTGATAAAGCCAAATAAAAATGCACTATCAAGTAACTGGGTAACCAAATGAAACTAATAACAATATGGGTAAACCAAATTCACAGTACTTTCAATAGAAAAACATGTTATAAATCCATATATCCACCAGAATCAGAGACATAAAATACTTAGCATCTTCGAGATTTTGTGCAACAGATAGTACGCATTCTATTGAGAAAATTCACATAAAAATATCTGCTCCATAAAGAATTCCAGAAGATTAACGATATATTACCCTGGCAATAGAGCTCCTCAAAATCATGAACAGTTAAACAACCTGACTTTGTGACTGAGGCCAGGTAAATCCCCTGTCAAGAAATGCATCAACTGTCAAATATGACTAGTTAAAATGAAGTAAAATATCTGAAGCAACTAGATTCTCATCGGCGTCAGAACTGATTTTTAGAATTTCCACCCTATCTAAACCTGTATTATTTGAAATTATGATCAGACTAAATGGCTTTCACATAGTGTTTGATGACTTAAAACAAGAAAAACAAACAGAAGTCTAAAAACGTAATTGCTCAACAAATTAAAAACCTTATACCTATGGAAGGTCTTAAGATAACCTTGTAATTCAGCTGGATTGATCTCAAAAGAAAGAGCACAATAAAAAAGAATGCAACCTCAAACACTAACAGATGAAGTACATAAAGGATCACAGCACTAGTTTTTAAAATAGTGAAATGCCTCCAGAAGATGTGTTTCCTTTGTCTAATCAACTATAGTTTTTATGATAGAAAGTAGCACACTTCTGAACACTGCCAAACTCAATACTTTGTCAGATCAGACAACACCATCCCTGCTTACTAAAACAAATGTCATTCTGGCAAGCACAACTCAAAAATGTCCTCTTCCTGATCCTAATACATGCATATTCAGCTTTGTGCCTTTGCGAGAGAGGTAGAGGAGAATCTTACACCTAATATCACATTTTAAGGATGGAAACTAAAATCTGCTACATCTGCTGATGGCCATACCACCCAAATAATGAAACAAAGACTGTAAAATTCCTTAAACAATGAATGTGTTCACACCACTCACCTGTTCTCTTTCAGTTGTAACAGATGGCATATGTTTCTACAGTTTTGTACTGGATACTGACTGAATGACACATGTAGGACACTCACTCCATATTTAAAAATCTTAGTGACATGTAACACTCTAATCTCCTTCCCATTCTTGTGCAGATGATATGACATCTTTCTTGATAATCTCTACCATATATGCACAAAAAGTGGGAGGAGTGGTTTGGTGTAAACATTCTGTGTCAGTTCTTATAATCCCTTTTTTACCCTTCTAGTTAACTCCTCACGAATAACCATGTGTATCACTTGAAATCAACTTCTAATATCACACTACTGAAACACACAACTTCTATTACTTAAACTCAACCACTAACATCACACCAAATACAAACTACTTTTCCATGTCCTCCATCAGAATCTTTTTCCATATGAACCTACTTCTGACTTTTGCCATAGATTTTCATGCTTTATGTAATTATCCCACAGCTGATTGTGAAGTCCTATCATGAGCACTTAGAGTACGTTGTTCTTCATCATTTTCTTAAAAGATTTATTTACCTGTTAATCTGGTTGATCGTGTCATTCAATGTTTTGTTTCATTTCTCTGAGATTTTGTTTTGTTAAGTTTTTTATTCATCCTAATTTTACTATTGTTGATACATTTTAATGTCATCACTTTGGCTTTTCAGCTCAGGATTCTGGATGGATTGGTACAGTTCAGAATTTATTATTGGTCACACTCTCATGGAGTGTACGTCAATCACTAGTTAGAAAAAAAGCACTATTCACAAAATATCTTCCCTATTACAGAATGTATACATGTACAGCTTAAATTCATCATGTTCCATGCATGTAGGAATGATCTGCGTGCTCCAAGAGAACATATAAGACAATGCCCAACGCAATGATACATCTTCATACTACTAATTAGTATGAGTCGAAGTCACTTTCACCTAATCAAATTTATATGCGCAAACACACTTCAGTAGAACTGAACAGTTAAACATGGAAAATGAATCTGACATCTATGTTCCTGTCCTTTTATTTGCATATTTACAAGGCCAGACCATTCATCACTAAAAACTGATATGATATGTGAACTAGTTCTCCTGCTTCTTACAATTGTAAAGAGCACAAAACCAGAAGCCTAATTTCCTTTTAAACTCTTCCTATCAAGGAGGGAGTCCATTCCAGTAAACTTGTGCTTGAACAAGAAAAATGGCAATCAATTTCACATGATAATGAATCAGTTAAACTAAAAAAAAAGTTGGTTTCAGACAAGAAAATGAAGTGAAATTCACCTTGCTATCAAATTCCACTGCTGATACACCCTGCCTAACCACAGATTAAGGAAACATCAATAGACATTCCACATAAAAACTTTAAGCCAATACAAATTGCAATTCCTAATGCCAAATGCACTTTTGTTTCTTAAATTACAAAGAAAAACAAAGAACTATGATTGTCCCTTGAGCAATTGTCTTCGAGTAATATAACAACAAACAAAAACAAACAAATCTTAGTTAATGCTTTTTCTTTTTGGGTAGATTCATCATCCCCAAACATTCAATACTTAGCACAAAGATAATGAAACACCAAATCTAGAAATTAAAAAAAAAAAGTAATTCAATTCACACAGTTGCAAAGTAAAGAGATAACGAACATCGTCACCGATCTCGGATTATTGGAACCACCAGCAAACCACTCCACCTTTATTTAAGAAAAAAAACTGTCATTTCCCAAGTATTTTAAAAAAAAAACTAAACAAAATTGTTTCAGAAAGCAAACTAACCAAAAAAAAATTATTCAAAATTACCGTACATGAGTTTGGCATGGCGAACCATCAATATGATACTCATGAGGAAACGCTCCAATCTTTGCACAAATTTCAAATAATAATAAAAAAGAAAAAGTCAGTGAAAACTCTAGAAACCTAATTAGTTTTAAAAAATAATGATAATTACAATAATTCGCTGTCACCTGAGAATAGGATTGCATGGCTAAGCTAAAAATATTGTGACGATACTTTGAATCAAATTTTCCCATCAACTCCACCAGACTTCTCTTCCATCTAGGTCTACAAATTCACGAATTTTGACTACAACTGAAGGAAGTAATTTATTTCTTCAGAAATACAAAGGAAAAATGCTAGTACCTTTTGGTGATGGATTTCTTAGCAGTTTGAGAAGGCGGAGCTGCAGGTACTAAGTATTTCTCCATTGATTTCTTTCTTCAGATGATCCGCTTGGATCTCGAATTATTACTATAAGTTGATGTTTGTCTATTCGCGCCAATAACTTGTTTTTCCCCCTTTTCTTGCGCGGGAACTATTTTCATTTTCTTTTCTTTTCTTTTCTTTATTGCTTTTTGATTTTGCTGGAATGTTAAGTAGATTGAATTAGCCCTCAGGAATTAACAATTGCAATTTACACGCTAATATCTCTGAATATTGCCCTAAAAAAGTTGGAAAAATAAAGAAAGTGGAAAGGGTTTTCTTTTTATGGACTCATCACGTCTTGCAAAGTTCCCGACTTATGCACGATAACCAATCTATGCTTTTTTTTTTCAATCATTGCAACTGCCCATTTTTTTAAAATATTAATAGGTTTACACGCACATTTTAAAGTAAAAGTGTTATCGAATTTAAATAGAAGTTATGTAATTAAAACTAGTATCTAATTTAAATTGGAGTTGTGTATAAGAAATACAATTATTGTTTAAATGTTATTGAAATTATATTCAATAAAAAAATAGTAGTAAAAAATGTAAACTAATTCATTAAATGAATTAGAAAAAGGATAGCAAAGTAATTCATTAATATAATTGAATTGATAAACTAATTAATAAGTAATCAAACAATACGTGAAACCTCCATAAGTTAATAATCTTAGGACCATACAAATTCTATTAATTTAAAGAGATATTAATTAATTAGTTACTTTACTAATTTGTCAAGTGTGAGGACTCGCAAATTCCTTGTATTTTCCTCAAAAATACTCTTTTATTTGAAAATTAGTATTTACCAAAGGCCACTACCCAAATATTTCACATTAAGTGTAGATAAACCTAGAAAATAGGGTTTTACGCTTCGGTTTCAAGTTTGGAGCAAAATTAGGGTTTTCGCGATTTTTCGCCGGATGAATTTTCGGTACAGAGTAAGGATTAAATTTGAGGATTAAAAGTGACTTTTAAGTGAGAAATAATATGTGATTGGTAGCAATGATATAAGGTTAGTGAATGGGAAGTAAAAACCCTAGTACGTGAGTTTTTAAGAAAAACGGCGCGAACCGGCGGGTCCCGCGCACTACCGTTTGAACGCACCACTTGACCACCATTTTTGCTTACCAAACAAATTTATTGAACTTGAGCAAAATATCTTCTCTCTTGGCAGCAAGCTTGACCGAAATTTGTGGCTCATAAGCAAGGGAAAGAAAGAGAAAAATTAGTGGCCAAGATTAGGCCAAGTGTTGGGCAATTTGTGGACACCATTAGTTCTAATCCTTTTGGCTTTAATATAGGACAACTTAGCTTCATACCTCTTCATATTTCTGCCAAGGGAGCTGAGAGAGAGAGAGGAGAAGAACAAGAGTGAACTTTCTTCATTTCTTCTTGATTCAAGCTACAAAGTGAGAAATCAAAAGAACTAAACCGATTAAACTTCTCCTTGAGTGATTAGCTAGTGTTTGGTGGTGAAATTTTGGAAAGAGAAGGCTTGGGCTACACTTGGAGAACTCATATTAAGGTAAGGAAGATGATATCTCTCTAAATTTTTCTTTCAATCTTGGTTAAATTAAGTCTAGTAACTTGAGTAGTAGTGGAATCATGGATGCTAGCATGTTTGGAAGTTTTTCCCCTCTTTATATGATGAACTAGGGTTTGGGAAATTCTGCCCAACTTGTTGTATGATGCTTGTATGTTACAATTAATGTTGTATAAGATGTTTTGGTAGTGTGAGAAGTGAGAAATTGGGGAAAGTTGCACTAGAAACTACAAATTTCAGATTTCTGGAAATTCTAGCTTCCATTCTGTCCGGTTTGGTAACTGCATGTTAGAGGCCGAATTGGCCTTGGGTCAAAGAAGGAAAGTTGTAGAGAATGGTATTTTGTAGGTACCTGTAAAATTTCAGCTCAATCGGAGCAACGTAGGTCATGAAAAGTCCGAAATACCCTTACTATTTTAAGTATTTCCCAAGCAGTCCGTGTGATCAGTTAAGTCCAGTTTATCACGTTTTTCGACTAGGATCCATTCTGATTTAGCTTTTTGCCAAAACATGAAAGTTGTATTATTCTGAATTTTCTTTCAAATGCCTCTAAGAACACCTGATTCGGACTTGTGTACTCTGAGTTATGTCCATTACAGTGTTCTGCGTTTAAACAGCCGACGAATTGGTTTCTGGTTTAGTAATTCGAGAATTTTACCAAGTTACATTAGAAACTGGACTAATTGACCTTCATGAACATTGTAACCCTGAGTCTTAGCTTCGAAACGGCATAGGTTACGTATTAATCCGATAAGCGTAGCCTCGGATACGTTATTTCCGCTTTCATACGTCAAATCTGTCTTTTGCTAAATTGAATTTCTGCACTTGTTATTACTGTATTTCTTATTCTTATGATATTGTGAGCCTATGGAACGGCTCTTGACTTGAATTGCTTATGTGTGATGTTGGGTTGTGGTTGAGGAAAAATAATGAAGCCAAAATGGACTGGAAAATTAGGTAAACACAAAGGGCGTGCTGCCCAAATTTTCGCCCGAGGTCTAGGTTTCTATTTGAACTTGTATACTTTTGTTAGGCCAATACCATGACCGGTTTTCCATTTTAAAACATGATTTTTCATCCTTGGGTTCAAACAACCCTCTTCTTACTTGAAAGTCATCTTTACACGTTTTACTCTTAATTAGTCGGGTATCTTCGTTTCCCTTAAATGTTTTGCTCGATAAACTGTAATATGTTCTCTTGTTCAACCTTAGGTTTCATTGGTGACTAAGGGTAATATCCGGAAGGATTTTGCATGTTATTTTGCATATCTAGGTGAGTGTTCCTTATTTGACTTTATGGCTTGTTGTTATCATTTGCTAATGTGTTAATTGCTTTTAATGATTTCCAAAATGAGCTTTCTAGGCGAGTGTGTACTTTATCGCACTCGACCTAAATAACTGTGCAATTTTCAAGGATTTAATGATTGAAATGTTACTTGCGCATGAATGTAAGCCTTTTGGGCTGAACTGGCCATTGCCCCTTGTTACCGGTCGTCTCGAGCCAGAAGCGGACTCGGTCGGGCGATTAGGGACTTGGGTGAACGTTTGGTATACTCGAGTATTACCGTGTAGGTTGGTGGAGACTGGCCAACGGCCAGGACGGGGGTGAATGAATGAATGAACGAACGAACGAACGAACGAGGGTTTATTGATAAACGAAAAATGCATTTTCTAATGATTGGAGGAATAAGGGGAAATGTCAGGAGAACGAATGAACGAAATAACGAATTGCTCCTTGTGAGCCGTATCCTTTTAATGAATGTGTTACTATCGCTTTCCATTGTAAATGTTTCTTGAATTATTGATACTCCATGTTTAATGTATTGGATTGATTATCTGATTATGTGTTCGGAACCTCACTGGGCTTTTAGCTCATTCCTTTAGTTTTGTTTTCCTTACAGGGGAAGGCGAGCGAGGACGTGAGCTTGAGATAGACTAGCCAATCTAGTTTTGTTTCTTTTGTTTCTTTTGTAGCGATTCTCGCCTAGTGCTTGGCACGGGCTGGACGTATGAAGGATTGAGAACCCTTGTATATTTGATGTTTATATTCTCTTTTGGGTTGGCAATGTATATAAGTTCCGCTTTAAGTTTGGATCAATGCCCTATTTATTCTAGTGATTTATTTCAATTTTTAATTGAAAACTGTAGCGAACGACTGAGTCCCGGCGAGAGCTGGGCAGGCGGTCCGCCGAACCCTCTGGTACACCTTAGGGGGAGGTGGGGTCGTTACATCAAGTGCAATTACAAATCAAAAAATACTCATTTAATTAACTAAAATTTTATTTTATTTTATAAAAATATGAATTATTCGATTAATAAAAGGAGACTAAACTTCGGAGGAATATAACTCAATCCATGTCTACTTGATTTCCAAGTATAGTTTATGTCTTTAATTTATTTGGGTAGCTGATATCATTTTTTTATTTCAAGAGGTGCAAAAAACTTATGAATACTAAGGATCTATTTGAAACCTGAGTTTTTTGGGAGTTTGTCTAAAATTTTACTTTAGTGCACTGTAAAAGTTTTTGAAAAAATTTTGTAGAAGTTTTTGTAAGGTGAAAAACTTTTTTTCCTTTTCTTTCTTTTTCGTTCTTTTTCTCTTTCTCTTTCTTTTTCTTTCTTTCCTTTTTCTTTTCTTCTTCTTCTTCTTCCCCCTCCCCCTTCCCCGTTACCTCCGCCACCCCCACTAGCACCTCCCCCACCCGCCACCCGCCCTCCTCCTCCCCCCCCCCTCTACCCTTATCCCTCTGCCACCTCCCTCCCCCGCCACCACCCTCTGCCCTGCCTTTCCCCTCTGCCCCGCCACCCCCCGCCTCCCCTGTTCCCCTTCGCGCTTCTCACCATCTTTCTTTTCTTTCTTTTTTTTTCACAGAGAGCTAGGGGAGGAAATGGGGGAGACGCAGAGAGAAAAAAAAAGACAAGAGGGGAGGATGGCAGGGGAGGAAGAGGGGGAGAAGGAAAAAAAGGGAAAAAAAGAAGAAGACCGGCACCGGAAATCGGCGCCGAAGCTGGCGACGGAGGTGGTGGTGGGGGAGGAAGAAGAAGAAAAGGGGAAGGAAAATTTTTTTTTGTTGTGTTTTGGATATTTTAAATATGTAGGTTAAAAACTTTGATAAGTTTTTGGGGTTCCTGTAGCACAAGTTGTTTAAAAACTAGTATAATAAAAACTTGGTAAAAAACAGGCCTTCCAAACAGGCCCTAAATGATGATGACCACTTCTATTTTATTAAATATATACAATAAATCAAATTAGCGAGATTATGTATATAAATGACATGTAAATCTTCTTATGATAAACAAATATAAAGTCTTCTTACATATCTCATTGTTAAACTATAATTTCCCATCTAAAAGGCGTTCCTAAATAAATCATGACTAATCAAATGCGTAAAGCATTGTTGAGTATAGTAGAAAGCATCCCACGTAGGAAAATATGATATGCATTTTAGTGAATTATTAATTAATGATATGAATGAGAACAAAGGATTATGTAAAGTTTTCAAAAAAAATTATTGTCTCATCAGCAAAGTCGGGGCTAAAAAAATTATTATTTAATAGAGGTTATTAATTTATCGAGTATTCATTTATAAAGATTTTACTATAAACTATTTCATTCAATAAATTAGCAAAAAATGATAAAAATGTCAAATTTGAGGATGTTCGTGTCTCTTGGCCTTATTATGCGGCGTTGATAAGCAGCAAAATCTCTTGGGTCACTTTTGTCCTATGTTGTT